GGGGGTGGGGGGGGGGGGCTTACGTTTACCTGTAGACATGTGCACAGGAAAAAATTTGTTTCGTTTTGATTCGGATTTTGTGTTTTTTGGTTTTTCGGAATTCGGGTCCAAAAGTCATTTCGTTTCGGGATTCGGATGCAATTCGTCCGAATCCCGAAATTAAAGAGGAAAAAAAAGTTTTTTATTTCTCAAATGTCACTTTGCTGCAACGAAATTTCGTCCAACAAACGCAAACGAATTTCAGAATCGGAAATTCGGATTCGTTTGCATTTGTTATATCTGTAATTCGGATACATCCGAATCTCCGAATTTTCGAAATTTCATCCAAATTTCGATTCGGAATGAAACGAATTGCACATGTCTATTTACCTATAATTACAATGGAAACTGCAGCAGACAGAGGAGGATCAGATCCCTTCTACTGCTAGACATTGACTTGCTGTGTGTCAGATCTGTGTACATTATAGAACTGGATCGGCAGTATTACATACCATTTTGCTGCTTTATTTAATTGTATGCCTTGAGTTCAGATGTGGGGTGACCGTAGTACTTGCAGTAATGTGATAGTATGCACAACATACTTGCACATTACTGCACATTAAGGCAAACTTACCTGTACGTTTGCTCTGCGTTTAATTGATGTTATGTTCATGGAAACGTTTACTGCTGCCAGCTTCTTCCTCCTTTGGCCACAGGGTGGCACAATGGAGCTGCACCATCCATTAAAGTGACATTAAACTCAGAAGTTAAAGCTTAAAAATACTCTCCTGTCATGGACTACAATCTCAATACAAATTAGTAAACTAAACCTGAGATTGTAGTCCATCACAGGAGTGCACTTGGATCTGTGGCTACTTTACAACACACACAGGGACCATGGGGAACAAAGGTAGCCACCTTCCTGAAGGAAGGACAGTGTCAGCATGAATTCAGATCTACAGCCGAGTGATACACAAATAAGATACAGCATTGTAAATAATTAAGGCACTTGAATGCATTTTTAAGAGTTCACTCCTGAGTTTAACATCACTTTAAGTTCCATTCTTCTTCATCTTGTGAGTGAGCACTGTACTACTCCTGACCAACAGTATTCACTGTTACTGCCTGGAATGGAAGGCAGTAATGAGAAATCTCTTCAACAGGGACACATACAGCACCAAATACATGTTTTTTAGTAAAGTGGTGAAAGGTTAGGACCTCTATTAGGTTTTTATTACTGTCTGTGACATCCATTCACTTCAACAATTGCACTGGTTTCACAGGATCAGAAGGTGAGAGTAATCATCACTATATACAAAGGAAGCAATAAAAACCGGAAAGATGATTGATCATTTTTTTCCATTCATCTCTGGTTACTGTAAGATTTTTGTATGAAGTTAATTAACTGCTTCATTTGTAAGGCGTATAATAAAAATCTGATGAATTCTGTGAAAATGTTGACATTAAAAGACAAATCTGTATTGTCTAATAGGAAATCGGGTTCTTTGATAATCATGCTAATGCAGTTGGAGTTTTGCTAACCAGACTTGCAACAGATGCTTCTCAAGTGAAAGGGGTAGGTGTAAATTATGAATCCATTATTTCACAGTACTGATTGTAATATATGCACCAGGCCTATTACTACATCTACAACTGGTGGATATTTATTACCACCTTTTAACTAGCTACTTATGTAAAGAATGCACGGGTATTTTTTTGGATATATTTTCTTTATTTATTAGGATCAGGACTGAAAGGTAAAATTTATAAAAATATTTGCATAACATTTTGTATTTTAATTTCCAGCCAATAGGTGAGACATAACCTGCCATTTTACATGTTTACCTGCTAGCTCTTAACTGATCTGTTGAAAAAGCCTATTGCTTACTGAATTTAGTAGCTCAAGCCCAAGAACTAAATGATGCAGATGGGTGACTCTTTCCTGCCCTTTGCTTCTCTGTCTGCTCTGTTCAACTAGTGCTGTATTGAGTTTTAATTGGGGAGAGCATCTGAAGACATACAGCTTCTGCCATAAATGGCATTCTATTAGTCCTGTGTCATCAGGGGCTGACTGGCAACTTTTAGCCCAGGGGGCAAGTACAAGCCAGAGGCCCATGGTGCAGAAACTTGGCCCCCATCCCGCTCTGCCTCTTCCCCCGCCTTCTGCCTGCCCCTGTCTGCCACTTTTGCCATCCATGTAACAGTAGTGTGAATGTATTTGTCGGTTTAGGAAATGTAAAGCACACTGGTAGTGGAGGAATGCCTCGTCAGGGCTGTGCACGTGCATGACTGCTGCGACCCTGGTAGTTCTGCCACTAAACACTACAAATCCCAGCAATAAATTATACAGCGCAGTGCGGAATTCCACCAGCTATAATGTACTATTGCTGGGACTTGTAGTCATCTATAGCTGGTGGAACATTATAGAGCACCATGTGTGGGAAAGTGCAGGCTTACCTGAGCAGTCTTCCAGCAACTTGCTTCTGAGATCGGGCCTGTCTATCGGCGGCTGTCATCCCCTCACACCTGCTCCTCCTTACCTCTTCTCCCTGCGTCCCTGTGACGATCGTGCGCGTGAGGCGGTGTGTTCGGCATGTGGAGCGTGGATACGGGCGGGTCTGGCAGCAGCAAGCGTGAGGCGGGGAGGAGGTGCAGGGTGTGGAGTGTGGATGCGGGCGGGTCTGGCAGCGGCAAGCGTGAGGCGGGGAGGAGGTGGAGATGCCCCTGTGTGTCATATATATATGTATATATATTGTGTATTAATCTTTATCTGCATAATAAACATCTTATGCAATTAATAAAACGAATAGCATCAATTTGCCCCGCATACGTACCTTTCATGTACATGTAGTTCAAATGTCAAAGCGGGTGTTGGTGTACGTACTGTGGTGGTACCATGATAAACCTTATAAAGCAAGAAATTACTATCATGCTTCAATTCCAGAATGTTTAAAACAAGTACTGCATGCACTATTTTTTTTTGGTCTGGAATGCCACAAAACACATGTATTGGATTGCAAACACACTAGAAATTAAATTGAGACTAAAAAAGAAAACACACCAGAACGCATCAAAAACACACATACCCGCATTTCCAGAAACACATGCAAATCTGTTCTGGAGAGGGTGAGAGCCAGCCCTTAAGTTGGTTCATCATTCACTTTATGAAGTGCCAGAAGCCCTGACCCTACTGTATGCAAAAGTAAACAAAAAGTTTTGGCTTTACATTTGAAGTTTTCGAATAGTGTGAAGAACAGAGCAAATTAGTCTCCGCTACTAGCCCAAGTAGCCTGGCGCACAAGTTGATAACATTGTTATTTCCGCCATGTATAAGTATTTATATATTATTTTATGGACATATCATTGTATGTTGTAGTCATAGTTGTAAATGTATTTATGTGTAGATATGTAGCGTTCATGCTTTAAATATAGAGGATTGTAGACCAAATGAAAAGAAGCCATTATAATAGTTATTTTTATTATTTTTTCTTATTCTGTAAGCACTTCTATTTTCCATGGTTTAATTGGTTCTTATAAAGCAATTCTGTGAAAATATAAACGGCATAATAGATCAATATATCTTTTTATGCTTAGTCTTACTTTAATTAACTTGCAAACCTGACCAATTTCGTCTTTGTGTCAGTACAAAAACAAATCTTACATGTGCTTTTTTTTTTCCCCTTTTATTTTTTTGTGGCTATGTGTACCCATTAATTACAGATTTTACAGCAGTGACTTCACCTTGAGCACGGCTTAATTTCACAATAATGATCAGACTTTGTTTTTCCATCTCTAGACTACCGGCAGTCGTTTGGCTTTGCTTACCATTACGGTGTGCACTCTTCTTACGGCAATCATAATTGCATTTGTTCATGGCTGGCAGCTAACGCTGCTTATTTTGGCCTGTATACCGTTCTTGATTGGTGCAAATTTTATTAGGATGAAATCAATGACTGGCCATGCATCAAAGGATCAAAAAGCTTTAGAGGAAGCTGGAAGGGTAAGTCAGTTTAATTGTCAAAATGTGATAAAAATGACTTGCAATGCCTATTTCATCTTTCACTATATTTCACTAAAAAAAATACATTAGGGTTGATAATGAAATAATCAAACACCTGGATTGCTTAAAATGGCAATTTATAAGAGTCATCAAATGCCCCTTAGGGAAATAATACATTCCATTAGGGAAATGAGCACACATTTACTAACATTTGTAAACCTTGTTAGTTTGTAATAGGTGCAATAAAATCAATACAATTGTGTGGTGTACTGTTTTCTTTTTATTATCTATGATAATAAAAGAATCAGTTTGAATTTAAAAGTATCATTATAATAAAAAATCACTGCACTCCTTGGTAGAGAGGAGCATATATCTCACTAACCTTCTCCCACATGGCAGCACTGTTTTTTTGGAATTGGATGCTCAGAAAGCATGGCCATTACATGGGGGGGGGTTAAGAGTGCTCAGACCTCAGAAAGCTTTGACTAGGATCAATTTAGGACTTACACAGGGTTTGGTGCCAGTAGCAAACTGCTGTAAGTATAAGCTCCTGTTGAGGCTGGCTTTCAAGTAAACTTGGCTTGCCTTGTATAGGTAAGACCAGTTTCACTTCAACTTGGGGTTTAATGTGACAGTGTAATCCCAGATGTGAATAGGGGCATAAGAGTTTTGCCTGAAACACACAATCATTTTATAAGTGGATTTTTACACAGCATGTGAAGTGCTCTGAAAGCAGGACATGGTTTAAATGCACATTCAATGCCACTCACTTCTCTCCAGAAAACTACAATTTAATTTTATAACATCCCCTTAGTGTCTGAGTATCAATAGTCTCCCCTATTTGTTCCTGGGATTGCGCTACAAAGTATTAATAGTCGCCCCTTTTTGTTCTTGGGATTGTGCTACAAAGTATCTCTAGTCTCCCTTTTTTCTCACAGAGACTGTGCTACAAAGTATCACTAGTCTCCCCTTTTTGTTCCTGAGATTGCACTACAAGGTATCTCTAGTCTCCCCTTTTTGTCCGATATTGTGCTACAAAGTATCACTAGTCTCCCATTTTTGTTCCTGAGATTGTGCTACAAAGTATCACTAGTCCCCCCTTTTTGTCTGAGATTGCGCTACAAAGTATCACTAAATAGTTATATCCTGCTGCACTCCTTACCGGATCCGTGAATATCCTGTGTATACAGGTGGGTGCTTGTAGTGACCACAGATGGCGTCATAATATCACAATAACGAATATCAAAAGATGTCACCTGCACACCAGTTAGAGTGATCGGCAAAAGTCAATTTTAATAAAAAATTGCCATTCAAGTGCAAGTGCTTTCAGGGCCTCATTCTAAGCCTGATGAAGGGCACCCACCTGAGACCCCGAAAGCGCTTGCAATTTAAAGGCAATTTTTCATTAAAATGGACTTTTGCCGATCACTCTAACTGGTGTGCTGGTGACATCTTTTGATATTCGACAAAGTATCACTAGCCTTCCCTTTTTCTCACTGAGATTGTGCTACAAAGTATCACTTGCCTCCCCTTGTTCTCACTGAGATTCTGCTACAAAGTATCACTAGCCTCCCCTTTTTCTCACTCAGATTGTGCTACAAAGTATCACTAGATTCCCCATTTTCTTACTGAGATTGTGCTACAAAGTATCACTAGATTCCCCATTTTCTTACTGAGATTGTGCTACAAAGTATCACTAGCCTCCCCTTTTTCTCACTGAGATTGTGCTACAAAGTATAACTAGCCTCCACTTTTTGTTCCTGAGATTGTGCTACAAAGTATCACTAGTCTCCCCTTTTTGTTCCTGATATTGTGCTACAAAGTATCACTAGCCTCCCCTTTTTGTTCCTGATATTGTGCTACAACGTATCACTAGCCTCCCCTGTTTGTTCCTGATATTGTGCTACAAAGTATCACTAGTTGCCCCTTTTTCTCACTGAGATTGTGCTACAAAGACTCACTAAGAATAGCAGGATGAGAGCTCAGGGACTGGTGTGGGGATATGTTTAACCACCTCCTGTCCGCCGAACGTTGAAAGATGGCCGGATGGGAGTCTCCTGGATGAAGGGGACCCACCTGAAACCCCGAAAGCGCTTGCAATTCAAAGGCAATTTTTCATTAAAATGGACTTTTGCCGATCACCCTAACTGGTGTGCTGGTGACATCTTTTGATATTCGACAAAGTATCACTAGCCTTCCCTTTTTCTCACTGAGATTGTGCTACAAAGTATCACTTGCCTCCCCTTGTTCTCACTGAGATTGTGCTACAAAGTATCACTGGATGTCTTTAGACGTCCTTCGTGCCCGCACCCGCTTTTACATACAAGCGGTCCGGCGTCTGTGACGACGCCCGATCGCTGGTATGATGGAAGTGAAGGTGCACCCCCTCCGCTTTACCTCTGGTCGCCATCGCTGTCCCCGCCGCTGCCGCGATCCTGGATGTCCATCCCGGGCGATGTGGCTCTGTGCACTGAGAACGGAGGGAGATCAGTACCCGATCTCCCTCCGCTCTCCTCCCGGTCTCTGAATTCAGGAAGTGATCTACATTACATCCATACTGTCTCTCTCCGGTACAGAAACCGGAGAGAAGCTGATGAAGCAGATCTGTGCTTCATCAGCTTCTCTGGGGGTCCCTAGGTGACATTAGGGGTCTTAGAGACCCCTGATGTCTCCATAAAGGGGACCTGTAACTGTAATTTGTTATTACATAGGGTACTTATTAGCACCCTATGTGATAACAATAAAGTTAAGTGTAAAAAAAGTTTTAAAAAAAATGTTCACAAAATAAATAAAAATGTACACATGCAAAACAAAAAAAACCCACAAAATGTTTTTAAAGTCCCCCACATATATGCGTAAAAATGCGTTAGATGCGCCCAGACGCGAAAACGACGATTGCTCCAATTATGCTGCATGTGCTACATATCGCCGCAAACATCGCAATGAGAGCAATAATTATAGGGCCATCAATCACTGATAACACTAAACTGATGAGCGGTAAAATCTTTTAAAGCGTCGCCTATGACCAATTTTGGCTATGGTGTTTTTTTGCGATTTCGCGGGTGCGCGCAATTTTAAGGCTTGACATGTTTGGTCTATATTTACCCGACGTGATCCCGCCTTTTATATTTTACCAAACAATTGGGTAAAAATAAATGTTTTCTAAAATAACAAAGGGAAAACCATTTTTTAAAAAAAAATATTCGGTACTTTTTTTGTTATATAGTAAAAAATAAGTGGTGATTTAAATACCACCAAAAGAAAGCTCTATCTGTCCCCCAAGAAATGGTATAAAAATCATTTCAGTACAGCGTTGCATGACGGAATAAACGTCAGCCAAAGTACTGCAGCGCTGAATACTGAAAAATGGCCTGGAAATGAAGGGGGTGTAAACACCCCGGTCAGCAAGTGGTTAAATGGTGTAAAATAGACACTGATGAGTGTAACCCTTATCTATGGTCATAATGGAGAATATTCGCAACCTCCAGAGTTTTTTTTACATTTTGTCAGCATGACACTTGTTTTACTCTGTCAGACCACACAAACATTTATCTGCAATAAGTAGATCATTTGCTGGCATTTTCTCCCACTAAAAGTACCCATGGGTATGAGCCTATAAGATATGATTAAGGGTTAAGTTATATTATAACTGTTTTTCTCCCAAGACAGTTATTCTTAGAAGTCTCAATGACACGTGCAGAAACACTTGACTGAACAATACTGTAGGAGGTTTTGTATGACACTTAATATAATAAAAAGACTTAAGCCCAGGTGATGATGTATTTTATTTCCACAGAGAGAGCAAAATAGACAGCTCTGTTCATTCTAATAAAAACAAATAGCAGGGAAATATGTTTACCCGTGCTCAACAATCCAAACTCCTTAGTGAATTTATTGCAAAATAAACACAATCCTATTATAGAGGTAAATTTTCTTTTAACTTGGTTTGCATTAGGCTCCGAAAACATGAGTAGAGATCGCAACCACGTAGACATTGGTTATTTGTATGCTCAGTAAAGATCCATTCTTTTAGTTATGCAGCAGAGAAGCATTGGGATGACTAGTATGCAAAGCTCCATACTGGTGGACAATTTACACAGTAGAGTTCTAAAAGGGTGTAATTTTTATCTAGGAGAGCTCTATGCTAGTGAACCGTATATACAGCAGAGCTCATAATGGTGGACAGTATACAAAGCAGAGCTCTATACTGGTGGACAGTATATACAACAGAGCTCTATACTGGTGGACAGTATACAAAGCAGAGCTCTATACTGGTGGACAGTATACACAGCAGAGCTCTATTTAAATGACGAGTATTGAAAGCAGGGTTCCATACTGGTGGATTGTATACACGGCAGGGCTCTATTCTGGTGGACAGTATACACAACAGGGCTCTATTCTGGTGGACAGCAAACACAGCAGGGCTGTATTCTGATGGACAATATACACAGCAGAGCTCTATTCTAGTGGACAGCATACATAACAGGGCTCTATTCTGATGGTCAATATACACAACATGGCTCTATTCTGGTGGACAATATACACATCATAGCTTTATTCTGGTGGCCAGTTTACATAGCAGGACTGTGTTTTGGTATACAGTATACAAACTTACAAAGCATGGTTCTTTTTTGGTTGACAAGATACACAGTAAGGTTCTATTCTGGTGATCATTATACACTGCAGGGCTCTATTCTGGTGTACAGTATACACAGTATGGCTATTTTCTGGTGGACAGTATACATATCAGAGCTTTAATGTGGTAGCCAGTATACAGTGCAGGACTCTGTTCTGGTAGACAATATACACAGCAGGGTTCCATTCTAGTGGACAGTATACATATACAGTGGCGTAACAACAGGGGGGGGGGCGTTCGCCCCGGGCGCATAGAATCTCCTGTCTCCCACGCTGTTAGAAGTTGCATACAGCAGTGTGCAGCTTCTGAGAAGATATGCTATTAGCGTAGCGGGAGTGATGCAAAATGCGCAGCCGCCTTCCCCTCTATGCTAATTGCATATCTTCTCAGAAGCTGCACCAGCACACGCTGTATGCAGCTTCTAACAGCGTGGGAGACAGGAGGCTGCGCTTGTTGGATCCAGGAATCAGGTGAGTATTAGAAAAAAAAAATGTTATTTTATGTTCTATTCTTAGTTCTACAATTGCATTGTAGTATCTACAAAAAGTACATGCATTGATTGAATAGTGCACTCACTGTACTGTCTCCCCTATAAAAATCTTCAGTATTATTTCTAAAGTAAAAAATAAAATACTATATACAATATTCATCTAATATATCAATATACTTCACTATCTCAATATATCAGTTTTGACTGTTGTTGAAGGTGTTTGGGCAGTCACCAAAATGAAATAATATCCTTGATTTAGTTCATGCAGACAGAAAAGACTTAAACTTTCCATGTAGGCAAGTTTATTGATACAATTGTAATTTTGCACCTTTTGCAATGTTACGTTATTACGGGGGGACGTGAAGTAAGGCCCGTGCTAGGTGAGGCATTCCCCCTGCCTGGCGCCGCCCCCAACCTGGTCACAGAGCTATGTATGGAGGCGGGAGGGAGAAAGGAGGAGACAGGGAGGAGCCTCCCTGTCCCTCACTGGCGAGGCATCCAAATAAATGTCCTCAGTTTTTTTAATTTTTTTTTATTGGACAGCTTGGACCAATGGCGCTTTGCTACTTGTCCAACTCCAAACCATCCACAGAGCTCAAGCCTCGAATATCAAGTAGAGGCTGTTGTAGCTCTGGCCTCGCTACGTTAGGTTACACAAAGCAGTGGGACAGCCCGCTGCTGTGCAACCTAACATAGCTGTCAAAAGTCGGATGAAGCACCGCCTGTAATTAACAGGCAGCGCTCCGTCCATGACAGGTTACATGGGGAGGCTTTCCCTGCTGTGTAACCTGTTAGAAGCCGCTATGAATGGAGAAAAAGATATCAGCTTCAGCTGACAGCTTTTTCTTCCATAATACTAGGTGAGGCTTTGCCTCACCTGACTCCCCTGACTGCACATCCCTGCATTATACACATACAGCTAATGATATATACCCACTTACATCACATTTAACAAATACTCACAATACTGTATAGATAAAGTAAAGACTAAGAGCCTGAGGTGTCCATGGTGAATATGTTATTAAACCTAAAGGGTAATTGCAAAGGAAACCAAGCAAGAACTGTGGTGTACATGGAACCCACCATTGAGATGTTTCTATTTTTGTTGTTACTTTTGGTATGCATGCGTTTTTGTTCCTCTATTCTGTCGTTTATTGGGTGTGACACACATTAGTCATTAGGGTTGATTTACATAGAGAATATTTACTAGCTATTTGAATTTGCTATTTTAGCAGTGAAGATGTGTTCTCATACACATTCACTGTACTGAGTTAGTATTCATAGTACACCATGCATGTTTACTTATGTGCACAACTTATGGATTCATATTTATCATGCATTTATTAATTGACAGGGGTTGTTGTATATGGTTCATGTGTGGATTTATCACTAGTTGTTCATGTCTGCTCACTGCTGTGAGCTTGACAAAGATGGGCTGCAACCCACTGAAACCTGAGTGTCAGCATATTTTATTGTGTGTTGTATGCCTTGCTTTTTCTGAGTGTTGAAGATACAAGTTTAATCATGTAATTAAATGCCTTTTGCTTATGCAGATCTCAACAGAATGTGTTGAAAACATAAGAACTGTGGTATCTCTGACAAGAGAAGACGCATTTTATGAACGATACAATGCAAGCTTAACTGGCCCCTACAAGTTAGTAATTTTTCAACATGATAAATGCATTTCTTAATTATGTCTGTTTTTTTCATGAGAAATGCATAACCTAAATTACTAGATATAGTGAAACATGGAACCAAGTGGAATCATTGGGGTTCATTTACTAAAGGTTTAACATATTTACTTAGCCCGGTGAGCCATTGGTCATTCAAATACCTAATCATGTGCGGGGATTTTTTGTAAAAAAAATACAGTTTCACTGCTCTAAGTGAACATTCTGCAGATAAATCAACTACATTATGTGGGCTGAACAAGTAAAGTCACATGGCTTAGGGTCATAGCATACCTCCCACAATTTGTAAGTATAACTATTATAAAATGAATACAGGGACTGGACTTTTAATGCAAATGCTAGCCTAATGGTATGCCTGGCTGTGATTGGTTTTCAAAGGAAAATGAAAGCTACTTCAGTCCCCACAGTGATTGCCATAATGTGTAAGTATGCACATTATGGCTGACTTACCCACTAGTTTGGCCTTCTGTAGTGGTGACAGGCTGTGCACCCCCATCATTGTGCACCATCTTCTCAAAAAGATTCTTCCCATTTCAGCCATTGTGCAGTCACTGGTGATGTCACACATGCACTTGTCCTGGCTCATGGCTCTATTGTTATCATCTTCTAAATGCCAGCATTGGGCCAGGGGTGTGCACGAAGCATGCACAGCAGGAAGTGTACACAAAGGAAACATTTGCTAGCAGACAGGTAAACCATTTTTTTCTTGGCAGATGAAGCTCTTCTTAAAAAAAAAACAAAAAAAAAAACCTTCTCTGCTTAGCAAATGTCTTATTTTAGTTTAGTATCACTTTAATTCCTATTCAATTCTTAAAGTCACAAACCCAGGACAGGCATGCAGCAAATAAAGTCGGACAAAAAGCAAAATACCTAAACTGTTTTTATATCAGCGATCCAAAATATTGAAGCCGCTGCATCAACAGAGGGATTAGTGATTATCCTATGACAGATTTCATTTACTCTTAAATCTAATACTCTATTATGTGTTAACCTTGTTCCCCCGCTTTCCTGTGCAGTTAGCAGGCTGGAACTCTGCACCTATCATTATCTGTGCTACAGTAAAGGCATAAAAGAATGATTTACATATCTCCACCTACAAACTACAATATAAACCACTTATTTTTTAGGGTCTGTTTTTATAAAGCCCCTTTACTGTACCCCCTGATTTTTAAAAAAAAAATCCCTACGTTTGGTTTCTTAGTCCACCCCATTCTAATTTTTTTTGTTCATTTTGGGCAAATTATAAGTGACATTGCAGCTACAAGAATTTTCTAGCTGTGCACATATCTGTTTAATTTCTATTATGTATAATTCCAAGTGAACTCAAAGCAACCTTATAATACGTACCTCAGTGGAATCACTTCTCGTCTCAAACATCAATGCCCTACTGTCCATGAATACACAGATTTATTAATTATGCATGATAACATGAGAGGACAGTCAAACCTTGCAAGTACAAATGATTTCTGACCGTTTTTCTTTTTTTTTGTTCCCACTTTAGGGATACTTTGAGTAAAGCTCCCCTGTATGGCTTTACTTATGCTATTTCCCAGTCGATAAACTTCTTTGTCAATGCAGCTGTATTCCGATTTGGAGCCTGGCTGATTGCACACTGCTACACACAATTTGAGAATGTCTTCATGTAAGTACTGTACTCCAAAGGAACAATATATTTCGGCATATTTTGTTTGCCGTGCAGCTGGTGGTGGCACTCAAATGCAGCTGGCTGTGCGATGTAGAGGATGTAGTTGAGCAATAGCGGGAGTGGGTGGTTAAAGTTGAACATTAATGTTATTATGCAGGATAGGATAAGAAAATTACAACGGGATTAAAAAAGTTTATCAATATGAATGCCATTAATCAATTGATTATGTGCCCTATCTGCCCTATGTGAAAATGCATGCAAATAATGGTTTAAAAAGTGTCGCACACAACAGGACATTAAACTTGAGTAGGTGGAGTCAATAAATCTGTGTACAGACACCGTTTTTTTTGTTTTTTGTTTTATATCTGAACAAAGCTGCTTTTATTTAGGCAGAAATATAGTCCATGGCTAACCTATTGATAACATCCCATTTACTGCCATGAAACATGTACACTGGGCTTTTAAGAGATTTTAAGGGGCAGCAGATTTCTAGCAGGTTCTGCAGACTGTTAGTAGCACATACAATTTATTTGAAAAATTCTGTTAGTATAGTTAGTAGTCAAACACATACCCTACTATTCATACAGTATACAGAGAAGGAATGGTACAACTCTCTTTAGTGCCATGAAACCTGCACTGTTTTCAGCACAAAGGTCGATCCCCTACCTGGAAGAGTCTTTTACACCTGAACTATATATATATATATATACACACACACACGCATACATCTGTATTCTCTTGGTTCTTTGATCATTCACTCTAAAAGTTGATTGCGACACAAAATATTCCATTAGCTCTATTCCTAAAAGCATTCTATTTGTGTGGCAGTTCAGTATAATTTAGCTTAATTGGCTTATTTTGTAATAGAGCCTACAGTAAAACTGCTGTAAGTGTTAGATCAAAAGTCACTTAAGAGCTAAGAATGTACAGAATGCAATCACAGTCCGCAGATATAGACTTTCTCATTCTTTAGTAGAATATGTACTTTTTTCATGAATTAAAGTAATTGCTAGGTAAGTGTATGTCTGCTCATTACTGTATGTGTCTCCGTACCACAGAGTATTCTCCACGATTATTTTTGCTGCCATGAATGTTGGACAGTCTTCATCTCTAGCACCTGATATGGGAAAAGCCCAAGTATCAGCCCAGAGAATAATGAAGCTTCTGGAGAGGAAACCAGCAATTGACAGTTACAGTGAAGATGGTGAAAAATTGGTAAGACAATATTAAAGTATTGTAATACCTTCCTGTCTCAAAAAGCGACTAGGATAAAAACCTTTATTTATTGGATGTGTAAAAGTATCCTGTGCACACTTCCTGTTTTACCGCAAGGAGCCCGCCTGGTTCTTATCCTGACTAGATAACTTTTTTTCCTAAACAGTGGAGATTAGGACAATGGGAGGGACTTAGTATTTTAACAGACAACTGCACATGGCTGACATCAGAGGATCTATGTATAAATCTTTCACCCAGCTCTATGCTGGGCGAATGTCATTTGCATGCCATTCCCACCACTCGATGAAGCCAAACAACATAGGAATTATGCTCCTCTGCTCCATCTAGTGGCAGGAATGCCATGTGAACTTCATTCGCTCAGAGTATTGATGGGTGGAAGATTTATAAACAGACTCCCATACCTTGAATATTCAATCCTTAAAAACCACGTGGTGTCATTATACAAGAAGAAATTAGGAGTCTGAATGCATTTCTGGCAGAGCAATGAGTACTTTTTTGTATTTGCAAGGTCGTTACAGGAATAAAATATGAGGAAATGTGCCTGTACTATAGAGATGTACTGCATTTTTTGCCCTGACATATATGTTAAATACTAAGGTTGTTAACTTACTAGCCTAGAATGTACAAATGGCATTATTTTGAAGCCTGTTCTCCTTATGAAGAAGTGTATTCACAGTATCTGTACACACATGTTCAATATGAAGTTTAATGCAGCCCTTTTTAACAATTAGGACATTTGTTTAAAAAAAATTGGCTTTCAGAGTGTACATTTATGCAACCCATAGGTGTGAGATAACAGTGGCCTGATCCAGTAGTTTTCCTGTCAGATAGATAAAGGAACATTTTCTCATGTTTAAGGGTAGGCAGATGTCTACAGGTCTCAAGAGAACATTGACTGAAGACAATAAAAATATCACCCTGGTCACTGCAGTTCTCCCCCAAGATAAATGGCAGCAGTATTCCTTGTTGCATTCTCCCTTCTGCACTGATATAAACTTCCAAATACCTCTGTAGCACTTTAAATACGTATTGCCCTTGGGGCGGCTGTATTTTGGCTTCATGTCTGCCTATCCTTTAAAGTCTTTGGAAAACCTTAAGGTCGTTCATTATTTAGGAGATGACTCCCTCCCAGAGAAAATTAATTACTACAAAGAACAAGAAAGTGTAGTTACCTGTAGCAGCCATTCTGATTTAAGTTTTCATCTGTTAACACCAGCAGGGACAACAAATCGATCTCTGATAAATTTATTTTGCACAATTTTTGCTTATGTAATAAAGGACACTGTTTTATGTTTTATGTTAAATAAAACTCAAATCCTTATGCTTTAGAGTGCGTTTGAAGGAAACCTTGAATTCAAAGATGTCACGTTTGTGTATCCAACGAGAGCAAAAGTCCAGGTTCTTCAGGGATTGAATGTAAAAGTTTTCAAAGGACAAACGTTAGCTTTGGTGGGCAGCAGCGGGTGTGGAAAGAGTACTTCTGTTCAGCTGCTGGAGAGATTCTACGATCCTGTTGATGGAAATGTGGTAAGCAGAAGTGATGCATGCAATAAACACACATATGTGTATATATGCCAGGTTACCAGGCAACAGGTATGTGCCAGTTTATTATGTTAGTTATTAGTGGTTTTGAAAGGCATAGTTTACAGTGGTAAAGTTTAACCACTTGAAGTCGGCGGTGTTAAACCCCCTTCCCATCCAGGTCATTTTTCAGTATTCAGCGCTGCAGTACTTTGACTGACATTTATTCCGTCATGCAACGCTATACTGAAATTAATTGTATACAATTTTTTAGGGACAGATAGAGCTTTCCTTTGGTGGTATTTATTCACCTCTGGGGTTTTTATTTTTTACTATATTAAGGAAAAACGACCGAATTAAAACAAAACCAAATGGTTTCCCCTATATTAAATGATAAAACACTTATTATTACCCAATTTTTTGGTAAAATATAAAAGACGGGGTCACGTCCGGTAAAAAGACACCAAACTTGTCAAGCTTTAAAATTGCGTGCGTGCACGAAACCTCAAAAAACTATAATACCCAAAATTGGTCATAGGCGACGCTTTAAAAGCTTTTACCACTCATCAGTTTAGCGTTATTAGTGATTGATGGCCCTAAAATGATTGCTCTCACTGCGACGTTCGCGGCGATATGTAATGTGTGTAGCGCAATTGTCGTTTACGCGCGCTGTTGCACCGGGTGTGTATTTACATTTTATATGTGCGTAAATGTGGGGGTGGGTAACTTAAGAATTTTGGGGGTTTTTTTTGTTTTTTGTTTAACTCTTTTTATGTTTTTTTACACTTAATGTCATTGCTATTACATAAAAATCCCCCTATATAATAGCAAAGGCACACTGACAGGTCCTCTTTATGGAGACATTAGAGGTCTCTAAGACCCCTAATGTCACCTGGGGACCCCAAAAGAAGCTGATGAAGCAGAGATCTGCTTCATCAGCTTCTTCTCTCTGGCTATAGCAGCCAGATGACTGACAGGTGAATGCGGATGTAATACACGTCACTTCTGCATTCACAGCACGCAGGGAGATCATCAAGGAGGTAGATGCTGATCTCCCTCCCATCTACCTCCTGACACCCTCCCAAGCTGCAGATGGGGCAGCGGATTGAAGGTGAGGGGTCAGGAGGGGGGGCGGCAGCACTTGAGGGGGGGCACGCAGCCAGCACATATACACGATCGGCAGGCTATAGAGCCGTTGATCGTGTATATGTGAAACAGCCGGTAACGGCTCTTTATATTGGATGGGTTTTTTCTGCCCGTGCGCGAGCAGTAAAAAAATGCCGTCTGGAGATGGCAACCCGCCAATGCGACTGTGCCATCCGTCCTTTTTTTTGCAACAGGCGGACGGCAACTGGTTAAAGAAATGTCCAAATCCACCGATTTAAGTGTTGCGGGGACACAGTTGTTATATCTTTCTGGACAGGAGAAGATGTCATATGAAAGGCCATATCACTGGCCTCCATATTAATCATTGGCTTTAAAGCCACAGAACACAGAAGTAGCACCTAGCCCACAAGGTTCACCCCTGTAGTGTTCATGTATTGCTCTGTCAAAATACACTCTGCCAGTGACCTTACAGCAAACCCGTGCTTACCCATGCAAGGCAAAGCATCAAGTTTGCTTTAATGCCCTCCTCCCCATAAAAGCCTTTCATTTACTATCCCACCACTCCAGAAGCTAAAAGAATTCCAAGTGTTCCAAGGGATTGAAAAGCATTGTACCCTCTCCATGTGACAGCTCTGGACCAATCACCAAGTGTTGTCACACGGGAGAGTCTATAGCCCTGTGTAAGCTATGACTTAAAGGAGAACTATGAGGTGAGTGCTTTTCACTCACCTCATAGTTCTAGCCGACATGTGACAATGAGACTGTCACAGGTCGGCTCAGTAGATCGGGAGGTGAGCGATCACATACCGGGTTCGCTCGCCTCTCGATCCTGTCACGGCTCTCTGCCGTGACAGGGGGAGGGGCTGGATTCCCCTCTCCCCGCTCCGATCTGCCAGCGCTGACTGGCAGAACGGACGGGGAGGGGACGGGTACAGCTGGCTCTGCCTCTAGATAGGCAGAGCCAGCTGTCACTCACGCAGCTGGGCGGATCCCGTCATCTACGTCGTGATCCGCTCCGGCTGCGGCGTCTCAGTATACCGTGAGCTGTAGCTCGCGGTATACTGAGCTTAGGGTAACAGGAGGACGCTAGTTTGTGTCCTCCCGTTATCCTAAGGAGAACTATGGGGAAAAACACTGACCCCATAGTTCTCCTTTAAGTAACTTGTAGCTCACAGAGGAATTCTTCTCTTGTTCTGGCAGCCCAAATGGTGGGACATTAAACGGTACGTGACTGCTGGAAAGGTGGGCATTAAAAGGAAACTTTAAATTGCATTAACAAAACACAGATTTACTTTAAAGTTGTGCATTGGGCATCACATGATTTTACTATGAAATCCATACATTCATATATGTACTGAGGAGTTCTATCAAGTGGTTTCATGTGTGTTGCTTGTCTTCAGATACTCCCATTCTGTAAGACAGCTGGCAAAGGTCAGAAAAACAGTTTATTAAAATTATGCTTTAATGCTTAATTATCCATTTACGTGTTAATAAACAAAGATTATTTCAGTTTTGATTACATGTTGAAAGTACATTTTAAAGCATGTTGCAAAATGTAATAATAGCTAAGTAACTAATCAATCTGCAGTAACAAAAACGGCTGTTTTGCTCATTTTTCTTCAACTCCTATAAATTATCCCTTGAACAGGCACATTGAACTTCAAAAATGAGAATGGCCATTTATAAAATTACAACCGCTGGATGAATTCCCATTTTTATGGATTTGCACATTAATCACACATTAACGTTTAGCACCAAATGTAATATGCTGCATGTAGCAATGTATTGAACTTTACAGAGTAATCCTTTAACATAATGTATTCTTAATAATCAGGGTTTTGGTTTCCTTGTCATTACATTGCCGTTTATGAAACCTAACAAAACCTACATCTGGACAACATAACAAACGGCAACCAATACCCCAGACAGCTATTAGAAAAGCAAACAAATATATTTAACTTTAGCTAGAAAATGAAATAATACAAATTTGTATTCGAACATTTCAGCAATATGTAAAGATTAGCATGTTAATATGACTGTAATAATTTGCACAGGCAGGTAACTCCATGTACTTAGCAGCCTGTGGCCATCTGATGCCCATGGTGCCTCCAGTTCAATCGCAACTTCTACTTCATGCACAGCTCCATGATGCTTTAGGGCTCACAATCTGGAGATTAGATGTAACTAGTTGCAGAATCTGTCCATTGATGCAGATAATTGGACAAGCCTTCATTGCTGTATGGGGATTATTTATGAAATCTCTCGTGGGGAGATTTTAAGTTTAGTTACACAACATTTTTACAATTTGGAAACTAAATTGTTAAAACAAAGCAAGTGTGTAGTGTTTCCTAACAAACTAAAACAGAAAAGGGATCCCTCCAGTTGGCTTGAATATCCCCATATTGTATGCACCAAGCAGCTATAGCATTAGTCCACCCAAAGCCAACCTGTCAGTGATGGGTGGACAATGTCAGATTGGTATAACCATAGCAATCTTATACCTCTAGGTTGTGAGCTCTGATCACTGATGTTACTCACCAAGTGCGCTTCACCCTCCCACTTGAAACCCTACAGTCTCACTGTTCGAGATGTACAGTATTCTCTATAATGTTAAAGGGCCAACAGGGAGAGGTAAAGACCCTCTGTATACTGAAAACTCAGTTGCACAGATCACACCACTGATGGGTTATCTTTGTGTGGAAGATGACATACCTGTAAGCACTGTTGTCCACCCAACTTCACCTCGTCATGAGCTCATCTTTTAAATTCTTGACGTCTGCATGTTAAACCATGTAACCGAAGCCAAGAAGTCAGTAATGGCATTTTAGTACAACTGTAGTATACGTGCCTTGTAAATACAGCAGCTGATGATAACATTTGTCCAATGAACAGGCTAGAGGTGGAGAGGTAACATAGGAATCTGTACTGCTCAACCAGTGTTTCACCTGCCTGGCTGTGCTGTGTGGCAGAGGTGTGTAAATCACAAGGTTGGCTAAATAAAATTGCCAGTGTAGGGACTGTAGAAAGCACAGGGAAGACGCATACTGGTTTGTATGTGTTAATTCCTCACCAGCCTCAGCAGCAAGGGGATGCTGCCAAAAGTGCTGCAATATCGAATGACACCTTGCTCATACAGTCGATGAGAGAGTGGCACATTCAGGCAGATGAGTGTTTTCACACAATGCACTGTCCTCTAAAGTGATGCCTCCACTGGTAAGTTCTCGTCGGTGACAGGATCACCAGTGTGACATAACCATAACTGATCTGATAGAGTAAACTGAAATCTTATTAGTTATTATGCTACTGCACTTTGCACACAAGACAGAAAAGTATAATTTATTGCTTCTATCTCAACCCAAGCTTGCCACTCATTGCAAATTAGGTCATTATTCTTCTGAGGATGACCTGCCCACATCAAAGCAAGGATAATCACTTTTAACATGTACAAGGAGCTTTTTAAAAATATGATATACAGTAGAGAAAACTGTGTTCTAAGCAGACATTCTGTTTCCTTTTATAGCTTGCAGATGGAATAGACACAAAAACACTGAATTTGAAGTGGCTGAGATCCCAAATGGGAATTGTGTCTCAGGAGCCCATGTTGTTTGACTGCAGTATAGCTGAAAATATTCAATATGGTGTTTTGGACAGACAAGCCACGCATGAAGAAATTGTAGAAGCTGCAAAGGCTGCAAATATCCACACTTTCATTGAAAATCTTCCAGATGTAAGTAAACAAAAATATAATTTTAACTTGTTTTAGCAGATCTGATGGCCCAGCAGCTTCCTATATATTTTGGAAATGACGATTGAGCATTTTCTCAGCAGTAATTTGTGACTATGATGACTATGACTATGGTAGAATGAAGGTGTCAATGTATGACAATCATGTGCCGAGCTAAATAAATATATACAATTCAGTGAAATATGTGATATAACAATACGATATATGAGTAAATGCTTTGAAAATATATACAATACAAAAGAGCTTATCAAAACATGACACAAATGTGAACAGAGTGATAAACACAAAGTCCAATGTGCAACAATTAAAATCGTGCAAATAAATGCAGGGGATAGTCCACCACTAGATGGATCCAAACTTTCAAGTAAGCAGTTGCCACAGAAACCTGACAGACGTTCACCTCCACCCAGTGAATGCAAAAATTGTAATGGTGCTCACCTGGGGAGATAAACCCACAGAACTAGGTCTCAAAGCGTGTTTCCCTTCTTAATAGGCGAGGGAAGCCCGTATGAATGGCGACCAGATAACCTCCTCAGCTCGCAAATAACATCATCATTTCAAAGGGAGACAAAATATAAAGAGGACATAGTGCATATCGTCCAAAAATAAATACATTTACTAAATAAAAGCAGGTAGTCACAAAGTCACAGGTGACAAAAGTCATAAAACACCCAATGGACACCACAGTGCAAATCTGTGGGTGCAAAGAGTGACGTCAAAGGCTCAGCCCAATCTCACAGCTCAATTGTCCAGTTTACTATTCGGGGGGACTAAACCAAAATTTATAACATTTGGGTGGAGCTGGAAATTCTGGTCTGTATATTCTGGTGTCCCACAGATCTAGGGAACCAAAGTGTGTGTTGACATGTATAGTTATGGACTGATGTACTTTGCCTAGAATGCCTATTCTGCCACTGACCAATATTAAATACCCACACACTGATCCCACCTACAAGCTGCTAGACTAGAACCTGGAGAAAAAAGCCAGGCTGGAAAACAAAGGAATATACATAATAAAAAAGAACAGATGTTTGGATATATGAATGGACTGGTGTAACACATAAGAAAATCTAATTCTATCTAATGTGTTATTCCGTTTTGTAAATTAATTTATTTGTTAATCTTACCCACCTTTAAAAGTATATACATGCTTACATGTCACCATTGTTTTAGAAATACAACACACGTGTGGGTGATAAAGGTGCTCAACTCTCAGGAGGACAGAAGCAGAGAATTGCTATTGCCCGAGCCTTAATACGGAAACCCAAAGTGCTGCTGCTGGATGAGGCAACATCGGCTCTTGACACAGAGAGTGAAAAGGTTAGTTTGTTTATTTAAAATGTGCAATGAATGGCTGTAGAATTTACAATCATTACATACCCTTAAAATCAATGCTCCCATATTTGTGCTTTCTATAGTCTCCATAAACAACGGGTGCCACATTTGACATTCCTCTTATTAAGATCCATTATAACAGCCAGAGAAAGAAAATGTATATTAAAAGAAACGGATGAGGGTTAGTAAACAAAAATTAAGAAATTGTGAAATAAATACACCAAAGTGTTTAACTAGCAGAAGCCAGTGTAATGAATGTTCTCGCCAAGGTAGGGGGGATTTTGACTACTGGCTGCTGGGGCCCCATAAGTACTTAAGGGCTAAAGGTTGGGCACCAAGACTCTAAAGGCACAATAGGCCTTATATGTAAAAAAAATCTGAAGAGTGTACATAGTCAGCTGGAACCTGGTTTCTATAAGGGACATGGACACTTTCCGTTCATGTACTTTAATCCTTATGACATTAACTGAATCAAGGCCTGTGTATGTTGCCCTTAGAAGCCAGTTATACACACCTTGCCATGTTTCTAGTGCATGGAAGGAGTGCCTGTTGAATCTACACAGTACTTTCAGCTCTACTGTCTTTTGTGTTTCCAGTGTCTCCTTTTATATAACCAAAGCAATGTGCTATTATAATGTATGTGAAAGACAATATTCACCTGTGGTGTGCCTTATGGCCAAATTATATATTTTTTATTCAAAATTTAACATTGCATCTCTGATGAGATATTCTTATAAACCACTGATGAACAGATGTTGGTTCAGGTAGACTGAATACGGGAGACGACTAAAAATTACTTTTCCCCAGTCACGTTTTAATGAAAATAATTGATGCACTGAAGAGTGAACTGTGCCACCAAATGAAGCAGGATAATGTATAAAACATGTATCTTGTCTTTTTATATCTACAGGTTGTGCAGAAGGCTCTAGATGATGCCAGACAAGGCAGGACATGTGTGGTGATTGCACACCGACTTACGACAGTACAGAACGCTGACATCATCGCAGTCATTCAGAACGGGAGGGTCATTGAGCAAGGGACTCACACCCAGCTGCTGGCAAAGCAAGGAGCATATTATGCGCTTGTAAATTCCCAAGTAACTAACTGATGAAAAGATATATTTTCATTGCTAGATTTATACTAGCTGGCAAACTGTGCACTGGAGAAATGTAATACCCGCACAAAAGGCCAGAGCATAGTATTGCTGTCTACAAACTGAAAAACCTGAGCATACATCCTGCTATAAGAGAGACTGGGCAGCCCCACTATCTGATAGTATGATGGGTAACTGTGCTGGTTTAAAACCCAAACTGGTTCCAGTCTAGGGACTGTGATTTAACGTACTCCTAGTAATGAAGAAAACTGATATATGTATTTATTAGCATGGCTAGCCACATGTATCAGTCACATTAGTTCTAATATTGTCAGTACCACACGTTTCCAATACATACTGCACCTTTTCTTGACTAGATGTACAGTACTTTTTTAAGGCACAGTACATTTGTGCTAGATTTTTTGTTTTTTTTATAACTCTGTAACCATGCTGTTATTAATACATGGCTTATTTATGGCCAATAGGCACTTATCCTATTTAGTAATCTAAAATATGTACAGAAAATGATAGAAACAAAACATACATCTAATTAATTGTTGCAGCTTCTTTAAAGTTGAACTCCAGTCAATTATACAAAATAAGCCAGTTAGTTACAGTTCTGGGTCATGGGGGAGGGCAGCCCGAACGAATTGAGAATAAGGGTTTCTACAGCTTTACACAACATTTTTACAGGACAGGAGAGCAGAGGGATAATCCGATCAATATGCCGTTGCTCTTTCGTTGTCTAATCACAAGCTGGTTCGGGTTCTAGACCAAGCTGTAAAGTTTGTCTGTAGGAACCGCCAGGAAAGTGCTATGGAGTGTGGGTGGAAGCCTGGATTACATTACTAGTTGAGTAGAGCGACAAATGTTTTCGTCAGTTCACACATACAGTATACATATTTCAACTGTGAAAATGTAGATGTATGCAAAAAAAGTAAAATCTGATCAGTATGGACTACAGTAATTTGCACATAAGAAAATGGTAACTAAAGCTTACTTTTTATTTTATTCTTTGTGTTATATATATTTAATACAAGTGTGAATATTAAAGAACTTCAGGAAATGTTTTTTAACCCTTGCAGTGGGAGTGTTAAATGCTCGTTTGTGTCTAGGTTCACCAAAAAACTGTTATTCTCACACAAAGCTCCGAGCCAGCTTCTTCTTAGACCAGCCCTTCCAGTGTCTCTCCCCGTCCTCTGCAGCGGTCTAAGGCCCTGTTCATTATCATGTCTTATTATCATGACATGAGGATGCTAAGGAAGATTCCGATGCTGCTGTGGAGGAGGAGTCAGGCTGGTGGGAGCGCTGTGACAGCAGGCCGGCTCAAAGCTTCAGGTGAGTATTTCTTTATTTTTGTCCCTAGACACAAATGAACACTTAACAATTGCAGTGCAGGAGATGCCCCACTGCAAGGATTATTAAAAAGTTTTTTCTGGAGATCGTATTTAAGACAAGAATGTATAACATTTAAATGCTTTGTGTATGTTTTGTAGTGTTGTTCCAAAACTGTTTAAAAGAACTTTAACCAAAACCGAATTCACACTTTTTGGTTGGCACTACTATGCTGACTTTTTCCTGCAGTAGTTTGTGTCTACATTCCTTCCTCCCTACTATTCTCTTGCAGGGGGACCCCCTTATTAATTGTTTTGCATTAATAAGTCCATCAGGAATGAATTAAGCCATCATTTGTTAGGAATCTTTGTATAAAATCTTCCTGGCTGTGTTTGGTACTCTGATGATGTTGATCTTACAGCTTGGATCTCAGATATAAGACAACTGCACTCAGGGCCGGATTTCCCACAAAGCCAACCAAGGCCCGGCCTTGGGGCAGCAGGGAGTAGAGGGGCAGCAGGGGTGTGGAACTGGTATCTCCCGATGCCCGGGCGGGTAGTTGTTTTCTACATTTATCCCTGCTTTGGGCAAGAAGAGCTGAATGTACAGCAGGGAAGCCACCGCTTGTTTTGTGCAAGTGATCTCGGCGACATTGTATGCAGCCTGCAGGTCTCCCATTCTCCATGGTGGGGGGGCTGGCATGTAGGGGGACGCGTTGAGGAACCTGGCCTTGGGGCAGCAGCCCTGACTGCACTTCCAAGGACATTATAGTTGCATAAATCACCTTGTGACCATGCCAGGGAGATTTATGCATGAGTTTTAAACCCTAACCACTCCTACGATGTCATTCTTTCTGTTAAGAGTATCCTTTCATTTTATATTATTATTAAGAATACTGAATGAGAAGCGAGACATCCTTGATTACCTTTATAATTGCTGCACTGGAACGAAGAACTCTGCGGGGGAGATCTCATCACTGGAGTGAAAGATATTAAAAGCCAGGGGATTGTTCAAGCCAGTAGCCTCTACTCAGAGCTAAAATATCCATTTTGAGGGAACTTAGCCTTTGACCCATGAATTGTGCTTTCTAATGTTCTGTAAATGTGTTTGTTAATGCCTTTTGTGATTTGTATCCATACAATGTACATGCTAAACCGATGAACACTATTTATATTATAGATCTTTGTTGTATTTGTATGTATAAATATTGTAAACAGTTAGTTATTAAATATTTTTGTACATATCTTTGAAATACTGTACAAAATAAAAATAAACTTTATTTGCGTGTATTTTTAATCCTGGAATCCGTGCCTTTCTTCAAGGAAAATGCAAATAGGCTTGCCGCTGGTATGGTAACAGGGTTATATATGGCTTGCATAATCATTTGCAGAACATAAAGACCAAACGAAGTACAATAACCGCTCTTACAGCTTTGAAACACATTCAATGTGTTTTGCATTCTGCAGCCACTAAAAACTCTATATGGGAAGTGTTTATCAAAGGAAAAATTATCCTACTTTTGTGATGAAACATGTCCCTTTTGAAAGTAACCTCTACACATTTTATGTAAAGGCAGCAGAAATAAATTAGCCTTGAAGTGGGGCCTCCCTGCATTGCAAGGCTTAAATGCTCCTTACCCAGACAGGCTTCTACCAGGCTCTGTGACTGGTCCCCTGAAGCCGCCTCTCCTTGACACTCTAACATCACTGTGTACAATGCAGGACCAGCAGCCCTGCAATGCAAGTAAGGTTGGCAAGCACCCACCCACAACATGGAGTGTCAGAGAGAAGAGGAAAGCACCTGGTGACAGGGGTGCAAAGAATATGGTAAGCATTAAAACATATTCCCTTTAACACTGGCAGTGCAGGGAGGGCCAACTGGAATGGTATAATAATAAAAAAAAAGGAGTACAGTTTTTACTAAGTGATATGCAGAAAAAATATAAAGCTGTTAAAAGCAGTGTGTTAAGCATACATTGAGGGCCCATTGATAATTTTGGTAGGCGCTCAAATTACATAGTTTTGGTAAAACTAAAGTAGACTGTACAAACATTGTATGGTCAGATTGTAACTAGTATGGTAACCCTAAAACATAACTGTCAGAATAGTAAAACAAGAGCAGCCATTGTAAAGTGTATGAAAAGGCAAAACATTTTATGTTTTGGACAGAGTAGGGAAGGGGCATACACTGTGTCAGGTTTTTATTGATGTGGAACAAGTAAAGATGAGGCGATCGATTCAAGTTATCAGAAGATCAGTCCGATTGTGGTAAAGAACAATGGCTCTGGTGAGGCCATGATTAAAACGGGGTGTCCCTCAGACAAAGGGCCCAGAACTGAATATTCAAGTGAGAGCACCAAACAGTCTGAGAGTCCAAAAACTTGGCAGTTCTGTGTTATCATATGTTAACTAATTCAATTATTAAACATTATGTTGGTTTATATTAATGTCTGTGTTTCCACTGGGCAGATTCACCCCTTTATCTTGGTGACCATTCTCACCAAAATAGAAAGTGAGGGGAAAACCAAAATTTCAGAGTTGTCAGCAGAGCAAGAGATAAAGTGGTCAATTATTCAACAGGAAATATTCTGGTGACAACTGTCTAAGACATGTCAGGATTCTGAAGTTTAACTTGCCTGCAGCAGGCAAGCTATGATGACAGCTGAGAGGTGACTCTGGACTCGGGATGATCAATGCTGTCCTAGAGGGAAGTGAGGCCTCAGTTACGGACACCAATGTTGGGGATTGTCACTTACATCACAGTTGAAGCTTTACAGAATAATCTTGCTGTTCATTTATTACTATTATTTTAGTTTAAAATGCCACAATTGACTTCCTTTTCATGACTGAGAGTGTGAAGTAGGCATTTTGTTGTATATACTGTATCTGGCACTCTCAATTTCTTACATTCTTTGAGCACACTAAGCTCAAAAGGTTGCCTACCCATTGTTGGTTGGACTATACAGTATAGCACGAGAGGTGCAATGTTAAATGCCTTTGAGAGAAATCTACGATGACTTGGAGTGACGTCCCTGTTGAATGGTAAATTGTAGAATATATTCAGCCAAGAGCTGAAGCATCAAGAAAATTACTATAATACTCCAGAAAGTCCAGGCAGCAGCAAAATGAGTTTGAGTAAGTACACTATTCTAACTTGTTGGATAAATGCACAATCTACCTAAATGTTATCTCAAATATTCCCTTTTCTTCTTTAAAGAGCAAGCATTACAGCCGTATCCAGTATAATTCTAGGGCATATCCTTGGTAGATACATTTCCAGCAATAGTATGCAGAACTTTACATAATAATTACCAGAACTGCCATATAAACGCTGGAAGCAGGCAAAGTCCTACGGAAGAGTCACCCGGATCTCTATAAATTCTGACCAGATACAGTATGTGCTCATGCCCTGATATCTGTCTCAAGAATGGTCATCTTCACCAAGCCTTATAAACCCAAGCAGGAGACATGACCTAAATTCTTCCAGTCATTTTTTACAACCCTTCAATTGGGGGTAATTATGAGCACTATATTGTAGTTATACACCAATTTATTTTTCGCAGTGTTTAAAGTGATTCTCCTATTTTTTTATTATTTTATGTTTTTACATTAAAGTACTTGTTCTAGATATCATTAGCCACTCTTAGGATCATTTAAAGCTGACGTTTAGTTCCATTCTTTTATTAGGCAGCAGCAGGAACATAATCTTTACTGAATTTCACTCTAATGAA